CCATGAAGAGTTTTCAGAAAGCAGCCATCAAGCCCTATAATTGGCCTACAACCAGTCAAAAATGCTTGCCTCATTACAGATAAGCACACATACATCCTCATGAACTTTGGAGGTGTAAAATCATTGTTCACCTTCAGTATTAAAGAACTAGCAGGATTGTACTTGAATACTGTAGAACAATAGTCATATAGCCTCTTATACTGCTCCCCATAGTCAACTTTCAACAGAGAAAGGGCATACACCTTGGTCCTGTATGCCTTGTGCAGACTGACATCAACCCCACAATGCCTCTTAATTTTATTTTTCAGACTTGCCAAAGTCTCATTAGGATTGTCCCTCAGAATATCTACCATCCTCTTCCCAAGATATTTGTAGTTTGCTTGTGTGTTTTCTGTCCTGTAGGAACATGTGTGTTTTCCTTTCAAGGTCTTGATCTGAAAAGTGGACAAACCTCCAATAATTGAGGCCCTCAAAGACCAGTCACACCCACTTTTGCATTGGGCTATGATGAGCTTGGCTTCATTCTTGGGAAACTTCAAATCATACCCTTTTCTAACAGACCAATCTCTAATCACATCCTTGAATTTTGATCTGGAAGGAAATTTCTGACCAACTTTCAGCTCAAACCTTGTCATATCAGCACTATCATTCCATTCATCAGCCTCTTCAAAACAGTTCTCATCATCCTCAGCCTCACTGTACCAATCTTCTCCTCTAGCCCTTTTTAAACTTTCAGCTTCTTCTCTTGCTTTTCTTTTCTGCTTTCTTCTTTGTTTCATCCATTCTCTTGCCCTCTTGTGTATCTTCTTAGCATGATCATGAGCCCTATGTTGGAAAATGTCATCATCCCCAGGACCTTCTAGATCCTCCAATTCCCATTCAGATAATTCAGAGGACTCACCACTACCTTCCTCAGGGTAATACTCTGAGTCTTCTGAATCCTCTGAATCTACAAACTGATTTTCTACCCCCTCAGCGTGTTGTTCTACCCCATCAGCTTGTTGTTCTGCCCCCTCAGTATGTTGTTCTGCCTCTTCAGTTCGTTGTTCTGCCCTTCCATGAAGTTGTTCATCCTCCTGGCCAACTGTCTGAGATCTC